AAGACTGCTCTGCTAGGCAGAATTGATCAAATGTCTCATTCTTTGTGCCATCCTTACACACTTCTGCTTCATAATACGCTACACTGGTACAACGTGGCACAGATTAAACGATGACGCTTCGGTGAAGTGTATTTCAAACTCACACATCATTTAGCTAAACAGCTCATTTTAAATATTCAAATCAGTAAACTCCACATCAGCCATTTGCAGTAACACAGCAGCGTCAGAATTACTGCCAGGTATCGGTCGCAGGTACACCCCAGCCTGTAGACAAATTTTCTGGCGGTTTGGTTTCTCGCTCAGTTTCGGCAGCCCAGCTCGAGATTTCAGGAGCAACGAATTCCGTCGGGATCGTTGGAACGACAGGTTTGGCGGACCACTAAATAAGCACATATAACAACGGAGATAGCTTTGCATAACAAGGATGAATACCTCAGACATCGGAGCTTGCTTCTGCAACTCAACTTGATGATCCCATGCAACTTCAGGAGCTTCGATTTCCTTTGGCTTCTCGGTCTGCTCTTCTTTCTCCATCTGGAGGGAAAAATGTTAACTATGAGCAACGGATACTGCTGCCGACAGCACCATGTAAAATACGTTTGAAATAAACTTTCTCATAGAAAAGCAGAACTATAACAGATACAGCAGTACTTACTTCTTCAGGATCACGATAGAAGTACAAATCTACCATAACGTCGCCACTTTCCAGTCTGAAACCAAGGTCCCGACTAATAGCGTTACGAAGAATGAGAACCTCTCTTGCCAGCATCCACCACATTAGACCGATAGCCTTGCTTCCCTGAAAACAGCGAGTTTTAACTTCGATTGCTTGTCAGCAACTAAGCTAACCTTGTTATTGCATGGAATAGCTATATCGACAAATTTTAACGGCGAATCAGTGTTGCACAATGCAATCACTGGTATATTCACGTAACTCGCCTCCGTTATTGCTTGATGATCGGTTCTCGGGTCACATACAACAAGCAAACGCGGTTCCCGGAACGCACGTTGGATCTGATTCGTAAACGTACCTAAATAGGAATGTTTTAATGGCAGTTAAACAGCTTCAAATTCTAAACAAAATAAAATTC